TTTTTTTTTTTTTTTTTTTAACAAATGCAAATCATTTGCGCGTTTCGACGTTTTAACCGACGCACAATCGAATGCTCGATTTGCATGATTTGATTTTTTGTTTGTTTGTTTGTTTTTTTTAACTCAATTTTCAACGAACGGCAAACCGATCTTCGAGCTCGAAAGAATCGCGACAAACGATACGGTTTCCGCTTCATTAAGATTCGCAGAGCGCATTTGAATGTAGAAAACAACCGCGAAGTCGAATAAACGGCGACGTTTCATCGCGTTTGTTGCGTAACACGAACGGTCGGCGGTCATTAATTATCGGAGCCGAATGCGGAAGTACGTTCGTTAAGAGAGCGTTTTTTTTTGTTTTTTTTTGTTTTTTTTTTTCACGTATAAACTCTAAGTGACGACACAAACGAGACTTTTCCATGAGAGAGAGAGAGAGAGTCTCTCCCGCTTGAATAAATTCGCGATTCTGTTTCGTCACGCGCGCAACGTTCGCGCCGTTTCTCAAAATCGAAGAGAGAAAAAGAACGAAGAGAATCGTTTTTTTTTTTTTGCGACGATCGACTGGAAAATGCGCTTGAAAATCATTTGGAAAAATTGAACTCGAATTTTCAATGCCGAGTTTTATCCGTAGTCTGGTTTTTTTTTTTTTTTTTATCTTCTGTGTTGTAACAGTTTTATCATTTTCGTTCCGGAGCGGATCGGACCGGCAATCTCGCGTTGTTGCAGCTTGTTGCAAAAAAAAATAATTTCAACGCACCGCGTTTCTCGCTTTGTCAAACTTCGTTGCGCAACAAAGTTTATTTATCATTTGTACATTTTTTATCCGGCGTTTCCTCCCCCAAAACCAGTTGTCCGTAATCCCGTTAACAAACGCGAACATCACCTCGAAACGAGGGGATGGGGGGAGACCCTTCGATCATCAAACGGGGCGATACCGTATCGAAGGGTCGTTTCGTTACGCATAAAATATTCGCCTCGGGAAAATCGCGTCGGAGACGAAATCTACGCGCGCGCGATTCATCCGCGTCGTACGTTCACAAAAGTCGGAGTCTGACAAAAAAATAAGATCTGAGAATAGAATCTTGATTAGAAGCGAGCGGAAAAAAAAAAAAAAATCAGATGCTGCGATAAACGCTGTCGTTCACCGACAACGCGGCGAACACACACACACACACACACAAGTCTCTCTCGTCAGTAGTTTCAGGTAAACGACCGATACGATACGCGCGTCTCGTACACGTTACACACGATATACACGCGAGGGGGATTAATCGGCGATAACGATCGTTGACCGGAGCCGCGCTGCTGAAGGAGCTCCGACGCCCCAGAGCGCACAGAGCAAGCCGGAGAGAGCGCGACCACGCGCGTGATTTCGCACGACGTTCCGTGATCCTCCGATCTAAGGGAGGATTGGCGCGCGTCCCGGGATGCGGTGATGCGCTCACGTAGCGCACAGAGAGAGATAGAGAGAGAGATAGAGAGAGAGAGAGAAGTGCGTGCACAGGGAAACTAAACCAATCGATAATTGGCATGTGCACGACGCGTAATAGAGTTAAGCAAATCAATGGCGTTTTAATCGAACGCGCCCGATCGACCAATTGTGTCCTCCTCCTCCTCCTCCTCCTCCTCCGCGTTTTCCACCTCGGCGGCGAGATTAAACCCGTCCGCAAATCACCGCCCGCATCCGCGCGATGTATCTTGACGAAATTTATCAAACGCGCGCGAGTCACGTCTCGTTAACGAGTTTACGAGAGCGATTGGAACGCGATCGACGAATCTTTCGGCCTCGACCGAGCGGAATTAACCGCATGCATATTTGAAACAAATAAAAAAAAAAAAAAAAAAACAAAGAGAAAAAAATACGCGAGGAAGTATCTCGTAGCGAATTATCTTTTGTAATTGCATTAACGATAGCTGCGGCGCAGATAACGCACACACGACGTGTATCGCGCTTGTTAATATTTCACTTCCGGCGTATCGCGGCGGCGGCAACCCGAGTTCACACACACACACACACACACAGATACATACATAGAGAGTCGGGCGCGCCGCCGTGTGTGCGTTGCGCTGATCTAAAAATAGGATACGGACCTATGCAGATGTAAACCCGAGAGAAATAGAAACCAACTCGCGCGAGCGAGCGCGTTCAATATATATATATATTTTCGTTAAAACGAATCTCTCGCGCGGTTGAGAAAATTCCGACGGATAGAGATTTTCCCTCGAACAAAGCGCGCGCGCGCGCGGATTGATCCTCGAATTTTGTAGAAAATTTTTTTATTTACGAGAAGAGACAAAACGGGAACGCGGGGGATGAGCCTAAAATCGAGATCGATAATTGATATTTGATTAAAAGTGAATTTAACGAAGCAACAGCCAAAACGACAAGATTCGAATCGGCAATAAATTTTTCTCGCGCGCCATTAAATATGCGATCGCGGAACGTGCGCGTTTAAATCCTAAATAGGATGCGCGACGCCTCGAGAAAACTAAAGTGTGTGTGTGTGTGTGTGTGTGAGACAGAGAGAGAGAGAGAGAAAAGAATTACGGATTGGAAGAGACTCGGGCGCGCGTTTGTGTGAAAGGATCGTGAAAAGATCCACACCGCGAGAGAGGCGACAGAGATGCGGGGGCATGAGGCGAAGGGGAATAATTGAAGCGAAGGTTGTGTTGTGTGGGGAAAACGACGCAGAGAGACGGGGAGAGAGAGAGAGACTCTCGACAATATGGCCGCCTGGTGAGACGAGCCGAGCGCCGCCTGGAAACAATTTTTCTCTTCCATACCCACCGCGAAACACCAGTTTCTCGATTTATCACCCCCGACTTTCGCGACCGAGGGTTTAGGTTAGATTTTCCGAACCGTCAAAATTTTTCATCATACGCAAAAAAATTTGTTCGCGTAACAGAGTCTTCTCTCCGTACAGAGTCTCTCTTGGTCCACAGATCGCGCGATTTCGCCGATCAGTTAACGCAAATGATCGTCGCGCGTGTTGCAAAATGAGACGCGGACAAAAAAAAATAAAATAAAAATTCACACACACACACACACACACACACACACACACAGACTTGTATTTTTTTTGTTTTAAATAAAATCCCTCTCCTCTCCTCTCCATCTTCTATCTCTCCCTCTCTCGTAAATTATCGATGTGTAACGTGATTACTCTCGCACGGTCGATATATTCGCGCGTCGATTATTAGGTTTCGAATAATGAAAGATTTTTATATCGCAACAATATCGAAGCGTTCGCGATTGTTCGGAAGAACCGTGCGAGTTCGAACGCGTTGTTGTTGTTATTATTATTATTATTATATTAAAGACGAAGGAATACGATCTCTGTCCTTTGAGAGTCGAGTCCTAGCTCGCGAATCGTTGCGACAAAGATTTCAAAAAAAAAAAAAAAAAATCCATAGTTCAAATTGCGTCGGAAAAAAGTTTCGATTCTTCATCTTCGAAAAAAATCGCGTCGCCCCCGAAATCAAATTTGAAAATTGCGGAGATACGTTAGTCTTTCGCTCACGTAGCTCGGAAAAATCATCTTTGACGAACGTCGCGCGATGTTAAACAACACGCGAGAGAAACAAGCGGAGGAAAATTTCCCGGCCGATGTGTGTGTGCTTGACCTGCCCTCGCTTGCTCACCATTTTACCAGTCCCATTGTTGCCACCATTCCGGACGAAAAATTGCAAATGGAGATACACAGATTATATATTCCGCAATATTTTAGATTATTTTTATTATCGCCGTTTGGCGAACGGTCGAGGATTTGTTTTCGCGGATCGGCGAAAAAACGCTCTTTCGGCAAAAATTGAACCCCAACGCGGCAGAGATCGATGCTCGTGGTCTACACGGCGCGTCCGGAGGACGTGTTTCGTCGCTCCTCGTCGGGGCGGGCGAAACTTTTTTTTGGTTAAGTTACGGCGAGGCACGACTCGACTTCGCGTTTTTTTCCCCCCGATCTCGCGGACGAGCGAGAGCGATCGCCGAACGATCGGGGAAATCGCTCTCGACGTTCCCGGGAATGTGAACTCGCGATCGGAATTGTCGTTTGAACGCGAGCTAAACGCAAACAAACGCGAGACAACGACGACGTAGACGACGGTGGTGGACGACGATAGACGACGACGACGACGTAGACGACGGACATTTCGTTCGCAGACGGGGTGATCGAGACCGTCGCCCGAACGGGACGATCGTTTACGTGGATCTCGTCGGTTTCGCGTGAGCGTTTTCGCCGATCCGCTAATCAACGTTAACCCAACGAATCCGCGCACGCAAGAAAGCGTTGCCTTACCGTAATGTGACAGGAATACAGAAGCTCGCTCGTAACTCGGATGTAAACACAGGCATTTTTCGACGAAAATGACACTAAGGCAGTCGAAACTACGTGCGCGATCACCTCGCTCACATCACGGACGACACCGCTGCGTCGCGCAAGACGATCTCACGTTATTAAATACCGCGGTAAACACGAGAATTCGGTCTCGCCACGGAAAACATCAATCGAAAACTAGACATGGCAGCCATAACTTTTGTACAAAACAAAGGTTCACATCCACGGACAGCGAGCGACCAAGCCTCGGACCCAGCTCGCTTCCGGTGTGCCGCGAAACTCAAACCGCCTCCTGATCGGCGAAGACCGACGTTTATAAACGCGCGCGCGCGCGCGCGCGATCATCGGCTAATGAAATTTTTCGTTTCTCGATTTGTTTTTTTTTTAGCGAACTCTTGAGCGAGTAATTCGAACGAGCGCGACTTAAGAGCGCGGCGTGTTCGCGACGACGACGACGACGAGCGATCGAATTTTGTTTCGCTCAGCGCAAATTCGCCGACGACTCTCGTTTTAAGGTTCGTTGCCCGCGACCAGATGTCGCGACGTGTTGCGCGCTCGCAGCGCCGCCCCGCGGCAACTGAGGAAGTTAACGCGCGTTGCCAACATCGGGGGGGAATTAACCTAGAGCCGAGCGCGGCCGAGTGGGACCGAGTGCGACCGAGTGTCTAACGCCGATTGTGTAACGCCGCCGTGCGAATCGAACTGACGTTCTATCGGCGCGTAAGATCGAGAAGTCGAGCGATTTTGAGCGGTTTTTGAAAACAACCGGCGAGCAGATTTTGGTCATTTCGCGGGGACATTTTTCGTCGTCACGATCAACAACGACGCGCGACGAAAAATTCGATCGTCGCCGAGAAGAAAAAACAGAGCGCGCGTTGCGGCTCCGACGACGAGTACAAGTGCTCTAATGTTGGCACTATCTGTTACTCCGGCATCAAGTACACGGACGACAGGGCGGCGATTATCGCTGTGGTCACTGTCCCTTATTGATTTCCTCGCGCCCC